TCCCCAGTAGCTGACACTGACGCCACCGACTTCACCTGCTCACATTGTTCACGCCCATTTATCTCTCGCATCGGCCTGGTCGGTCACCTGCGAATCCATCGCACAGAGACTGGCGAACCAGTGCCTGGAGCACCAACCTATACTCACCAAGCCCGTCTCAACTGCCCACACTGCCTTCGCACATTCAGACATCGCATGGGCCTATTCGGCCACATGCGCATACACGACGACCTGCGGTAGACAACCGCCGGGGTGTAGGGGTGTCAGCGGTGGGTTTACGTAATGGTCGTGGTGGTCGCTCACTTGATTGCAGGTGAGACTGCGCCTAGCGTCCACTTGCTGGCACTCAACTCTCACCCGTGGCTCCACGTAGCTGGGCTCTGCTCAGCGGCCACACCCCGGGCAACCGTCTCGACCGGCGGGCTAAACCAGGTGAGGGGGCCCTGTGCGCTGTGCCGTGTGCAAAGGCTTTGCGGATTCCGCTGGATGGAAGGTCGGATGGAACCTTGCGTCGGCAGCGTAGTGACGTGGTTCGTCTCTGCACGCCGCTGGACAGCCGGTGACGGGATGGATCTCCGCATCGACATCGCCTTGACGCGCCCACCCTCGCCGACGGAGACCGCGGCTTACGGCGAATTGGAGTCGCTCTCCACTACAACCCGAAGTCGTGGTCCCATAGTGGAGATCGGCCGTGACACAACGGCACGTGGCAGCCCTATTCAGGGATGGCACTGCCAGCCCCCACGAGGGGAAAGGCCTAGAAAAGGTGGCCTAAACATTGCCGGGTACCACGCCGTCTCCAGGCTAGCCAGGGCCGCAGACGTCTAAACATGGTCGAAACAATCAAAATCGCAACAACAACAATCCAAATAACAACAACAACCATACTCATTCTCCTCATCCTACCTCTCCTACGTCTTCCTCTGCCTACTCTTCTCCTTCGTCACCTTCTTCTCCATCTGCCTCCCGTCGCCCCACTCGTTGTCACCAGGCTGACAGGGTGAGTCCGCTCACTCTGGCAGCCTGGAATGTTCGTTCACTTCTAGACAATCCGAGGAGCAACCGACCGGAACGGAGGACGGCGCTACTGCCACGAGAACTGGCGCGATACAAGGTGGACATCGCAGCACTCAGAGAGACCCCTTTCTCCGTACAAGGCCAACTGGAAGAGGTGGGTGCCGGCTACACCTTCTTCTGGAGCGATCTACCAATGACAGAGCGACGGGACGCGGGCGTCGCCTTCGCCATCCGGAAAGACATCGTGTGACCACTGCCCTGTTTGCCGCAGGGCATCAACGACCGCCTGATGAGCCTCCGCCTGCCTCTCTGGGGAGGCAAATTCGCCACCATTATCAGCGCCTACGCTCCGACGATGACCAACCCCGAAACCGTCAGCGACAAATTCTACGAGGATCTGCATGCCCTCTTGGCGACTGTGTCGAAGGCGGACAAGCTGATTGTCCTCGGTGTCTTCAACGCCCGCGTCGGAACAGACCATACTGCCTGAAGGGGAGTGCTGGGTCCCCACGGTCTCCGCGGCTCCAACGACAACGGTCTGCTGCTTCTCCACACCTGTGCAGAACACCGCCTTATCCTGACGAACACGTTCTTCTGTCTGCCCGAGCGAGACAAGGCCACCTGGAGGCGTCCTCGGTCGCGTCAGTGGCACCTGCTGGACTATGTCCTCGTCCGAAGGCGTGACCAGCGGGTCGTGCTGGTGACGAAGGCGATCGCGGGAGCTGATGGGTGGGCCGACCATCGCCTCGTCATCTCGAAGATGCGTATTCGCCTACAGCCTCGCAGGAGACCGCAAGGTAAGCGACCCCCAGGTAAGCTGAATGTTGCCTTGTAGTCTTTGCCCGCTCACCGTCTCCATTTCAGCAATGAGCTAGATCAACGGCTAGACAACCTTCGCATCGCTGCCGATGCCGCCGCTGCCGAGAACGCCTCCATGGAGAACCCCTGTTGTCAACTGCGAGGCACGGTCCAGTCGACGGCGCTCGCCGTCCTCGGTCGCGCTTCCCGCCAACACCAGGACTGGCTCGACGACAACGACGCCGCCACCAGAAATCTGCTTGCTGAGAAGAACCGCCTACACAAAGCCTACACAGACCACCCCACTGAGGACAACAAAACTGCCTTCTACCGCAGCAACGACTGCGCGAGATGCAGGACGCCTGGACTGCTCGCAAAGCTGAGGAGATCCAAGGCTACGCGGACCGCAACGAATGGAAGAACTTCTTCTCTGCGATCAAAGCTGTCTATGGTCCGCCAACCAAGGACACTGCTCAACCTCTCAGCGCCGACAGCAGCACTCTCCTGACTGAAAAGACGCAAATCCTACAGCAATGGGCCGAGCATTTCCGAGGTGTCCTCAACCGCCCTTCCGCCATCTCCGACGCCGCCATCGCGCGTTTGCCGCAAGTGGAGACCAACGCGGACCTAGACCTCACGCCATCTCTCCAGGAAACCATCAGGGCCGTGCAGCAGCTCTCCAGCGGGAAAGCACCCGGATCGGACGCAATCCCTGCTGAGGTCTACAACCACGGAGGACCTCAACTCATGGATCACCTGACTGCGCTCTGCCAGAAAATGTGGCGTCAAGGCGATGTCCCGCAAGACTTCAAAGACGCAACCATCGTGCATATCTACAAGCGAAAAGGGAATCGCCAAGTCTGCGACAATCACCGCGGATATCATCTTCGCCGCCCGTCAACTTCAGGAGAAGCGTCAGGAGATGTGGACCCACCTGTACTCTACCCTCG